TACAGTCTATTTGCTACACGTGGCTCTTTGTTTTCTCGGAGCTGAATCCTCAGGCTGGGCTTCAAACTGGTGCCAGCAGCATCATCTGAAACAACATGGCAGTGCTGAGTTTGGTCTGTTTTGTGGGTCTGAGGCAGGAAAGTCTGCAGGGTTGCTGCTGCTGTGAGAAAAGTTTGAAAAAACACAAATCTGCATTTTTCTTGGTTCAAACAAACGTTTAGCGTCTGATTAAGTCAGCTGAGAGTTTCATGAACCCCCGGAGCTTTAAAAAAAACAAATATTTTTTCACAGGTTCAATTTGTTTTTGCAGATTTATGTTTTTTTTACTCCAATCGTAGCAAATATATCACAAAACAATACTGCAGAAAGTCACAGCAATTCAGAACAGCCATTTTTCTACTCTACTGAGACTATAATGTCCCCACAGAAGGTAACGGTTAGAGAAGCGCTGTCTTTTAGTTTTTGGTTTCCTCCGGACGCACGCGCATATTCTTCACTCGAAATAAACGAATCGTCTCGGGCGTTTTAAACAAATACTCAGAGACAGAAGGTCCGCTTCTACCAGGCCACGATTCAGAGTGTTGTGAACTGCGGACAACAACAAGTTTCACACGTTTGTCTCAGAAACACCACAGCAGATGAGTGGAAACTCAAAGTCTCGTTTCCCTGGAGGTCCCTCAGGTTGTGCGTGTCCAACGGGAGCCTCGCCTGTTTTTTACTCGACCTCTGTTTGAAACCTGTCGGCAGTTAAAAGAGTTTCAGAGTTTCTCACTGAGCTTCTTCTTCTTTTCAGAGCAGCAGCTGTTTGCTTGGAAAGAGGCGCCCGTTGGATTCGACACACATTTTGGTTTAAGTCACGCTACTTTCATTGGCACCGACCTCGCACACGTCTTCCTCACACGCACCCCGACCCAACCCCAAACCGCCAAACATCACAGATCCCTGGCTCTGGGAGACCGCCCCGAGGAGCGCCCCTGCAGCAGCGGCCATGTTGTTGCTCAGAGCGGCACTGCTGCTGTTACCACCGCCGTGCTGCGGGGACAACACTGACGTTCCTCCCCTCGCTCCACCTCCCAGGACGCCTCCCTGCCCACCCTCACCTGCAGACAGGAGGAGGTGAGGGGAGGAAATCAGATCTGGATCCTCACCTCCTCCTCCTCCTCTCCTCCCTCCGTCGCTGCCGCTTCCACCTTCGCCGCTCTCTCCCAGCCCGCTGCGCCTCTCGCAGTGCGAGCGGTGCCTCATGAAGCTGTCGCGCCACATGAACTTCTTGCCGCAGCCGAGGCAGTCGTACGGCTTCAGGCCCGTGTGCGT